ATGAGTTTGAGCTGTGTAGTGAGACCCTGCACAGAATACAAAACAACAACAACAAAAAAGAAAAACATGCAGGGTGAGCACTGGAGAATAGAGAGGGAGGTTATCTATTTCTAGCAGACAGTAAAGTGATGCTGACTCTAAAGTGTTTAAAATAGCTTGTGGAGACTAGTTAATAAGGAAACTACCTTACAAGAGGCTTGGGAGGTCTTTATTGTTTTAAATTTAAGTACTTACTATTAAAAGTCTATGATTCACCAAACCTTAAATAAGCTCATCGTTAGAGTTTATCCTTTCTGAATTAATTTTCTCCTTGATATAACTCAGTCATCTATTAGTATGCACATGTATGTGAAACTTCTATGGGCCATGAAGGCTTCAATGCCTTCTCCCAGGTAAAACCCTTGCAGAGCCAAGTGCAGTGGTACGTCCCTGCAGCCCCAACTACACGGCAGAAGTGCAAGTTTAAGGCCAGTCTGGACAACTTAATGAGATACTATCTCAAAATGTGCATTTTTTTTTTTTTTTTTAAAGGGCAGAGTGTAATTCAAGGCTAGAGCACTTGCCTAGCATGCACAAAGCTCTGGGTTCAATCCCCAGACCAAGGAATCTGGGAAAGGCTTGCGTGGGGTAACAATGACAAGATGTAATATGTATATGTGCCAATTACCCAAGATGACTGTAATTATCATGTATTGCCAATATGTATTAATAAAAATTTTTAAAATCCCCAATACCACCCACAAAAAAAGAACCTTGTAGTGTGAGTTTGAGAGGGGCTAAGAAAAGAGGCAGGAGCCTTAATGCCCAGGCTCCTCTAGGTAGCACCAAAAGTGGACACTGATGGAGTCATGGATATAGCTCAGTGGCACAGTGCCTGCCTGGCAAGCATGAGGTCCTGAGTTTGATTCTCAGTACAAAACAAAACAAAAGGACATTGATGGTCTTTCCAGGGAGAACAGAAAGGAGGACTCTTAACAACTTCAAACTGTAACAATTGATTTCTTTCGTTTTTAGAAGGATCAGCTTGGCAGTGCATGGACACATAGATTAAAGAAGAGAGCAACAGGAGACAAGAAAGCCAATTAGACCTGGCTGCTGCAAAATTTCAAGTTTAAAAAAATGAAATAGGTCGGGGGGGGATGGGAAAGAAGAGGCAGGGCAGAAGATTACTGATGTTAAGGAAGCAATGCAAGTTGGTTACGTGTCAAAGAATGAAAGAAAAAGGGGAGTTGATGACTCAGGTTTTGACTTTTGTGGTCAGGTACACCGTGGCTACTATTCAATAAATTAAATATGCGAGTATCAGGTTTGGGTTGAAGATAATGAGTTCATGTTTGAAAATGCTGACTTTCAAGTACACTTGTAGAGAAATCTGGAGGCAGTTAAATATACAACCCTGGAGAGGAGGAGTATAAACTTCCCATGTGGCTGCCCGTATTCTGCAGGACTGTATAGAAAACACAAGATCTGTTGGTGTTTATTCTTTTCGACTGCAGGTGTTTCCCCTTGCTGGCAGGGTTCCTCAAGCCTGGACAATAGAAAGGGTGTCCCTGTTGTCTACTCTTGGAGATGCATGTCTGGGCCATTCAATAAAAAGAAAAGATGGTGTCTCAACTGCTCAGCTTCATGTTTTCCAAATATGCAGGCTGCACCTAGAGTGCCGAGATGAAAGCAGCTGACTCATATTTTCTGCAAGTCAGCACAGATATCCATCCTCCCAAATTATTTGAACCTCTGGCCACTCCCAAAGAGAGTCAAAGTATTGGAATGGTTTATGGGCATCTTTTTCACATATTTCATCTATTATAAAGATGCACAGAAGTAGAAGAAAAAATGAAGTAAATTTCATGCCTTGTGCCACTCTCAGCTCCCAACTCAATATCCTCATCTTTTATAGAAAGTCTAGGTTCTCTTAGGGTTGGCTGAAATGTCACCTTCTCTGGTCACCTTTGATCTTCAAAATAAGCAGCAAATCCCCCTGGTGCCCAAGTTTATCTGGCTAGTGAGTGTGACTTTTAGTAAAACTATACGTCCAGGTGCATGACTTCTGCCCCGGGAGCTTGTGTATTATCAGTGTGTGGTTTCTAGGCTCAGTACAGGATTTGATATATAAATGCTGACCAAAGTGGTTTTGTTAAATTATGAAAATATTGTCTTACCTCTTAAAGAAAGGAGGGGGCTTTTTTACTTGACTGCGCACAATGACAGCTAAACAGACACATTATTTAAAAATAACTTTGCAATTTAAAGGGGTAGGATTATTGACTTGAGAATGTTGAAGTGAACATTTTCAAAGTGATGAAAAAGCGCTGAGTCAAAGATGACGCCTTAGATGGCCACAGAAGGGCAGAGACAGCAGTGGCTCAGGCCATCACAGCCTTCCTGTCCCGGGCCATCCTCCCAAGCACCAGGCTTAGAATGTCATTTCTAACACAACATTTCTTGCTAGTATTCTTGCAAATGGTACAGCTAAATTGCCTTTCAAGAATTTCTCCAGTTTGGTCTTTTTTTAAAGAAATATAATGATGATGTGACCACATGGCTAATAAATTTCACCCATAAATTACATTATGATGTCACTCTAATGCTGTTTCACAAGGAACACATTTTGAAAGAGTATTTTTTGCCTTTGGACACATACACCCAGTTTCTAAAAGCTCACTAATTCCTGGTGGAAGGATTTCTCACCCATGGGGAAAGCCTTGCAAGATACATACTGAGGACTGCTTCAAGGTTTCAGGTTTTCACTAAAGATGTGGGAAGTGGGTGACATAACAATGAAGATACCTGGATTTAGCAGGCGCAGGGAATCGAGCTGCATAACAGCTTGCACGTCCAGTGCTGCCTGTGGTTACTGGCTTCATAGCTTTCCTTCAGGCATCATTAACATGATAGTATTCTAAAATAACTTCTAGGGGCCAGGGAGATGGCTCAGTGGAATAAGCACTTCGCTGGCAAGCTCAAGGGCCTGAGATCAATCCCTGGTTCTGCAAAAAACAAACAAACAAAAAACTTCTAAGAAATAAAGTCCCAGGTGTGAAAAGTGACATCATTTCAGGAATAGCCTGGGCCCAAAATTGGGAAGTTTTCTACCTGGCTCATGTCTACATTGTTAGAATGCCTTTTCCAGGTCACATTTAGGGCTTAAGTTAATGTAGCTGTGACTCCAGTGATACAGGCCAGGGACGGAGATGGGATTTATGACTGCTCGGGGTTCTGGGGTAAAGATACTTCCTGAGCACGCAGATACTTCTTCCTCGTTTTCTATTGCTTTGAAATATCATTCCTTTTGGAGCTATGTTCTTTGATAGAAAAAACTACAAACCTTCAAATTTGAAACTTCGTTTAGAGCTATTCTTGAAGCTTTTCTTGCAAGTGTATCTAATATTTTAACTTGTACTTTGTGATGTAAACTGTATTTATATATTTTAAGTGCTTTTTGTTGCTGCCCAAATATTTCAATACACCAAACTACTCCTTGTAGAGGAATGGACTCATCAGATATAGCAATGATTAAAACCAAAAAGAGACTAAATGTGTGTCCAGTGGGGTAAGAACAGGAGCTACCAACTCCTGTTTTGAGTTTAATAAAACTTAAAAAAATTTTTTTTTCAGTAAAAATGCTTTCCTACATACAATGTTATGTGATACACTTTTTAACAATAAGAAAAAAAAAGAGTGGAATATATGTCAGTCAATTTAGGTTGGAGAGTCTCAACTTCAGATTCCTTTTTTTTTTTTTTTACCTTCAACCCAATTCTTTTTAAAATTTTTTTTTATTTTAGGGAAGCGTCTACAAGATGTTCAGGATCTCACTACTAGATCAGATTTGCAGTGATCTGCCTGTTTGCAGCCTCCCAAGAGCTGGGATTACAGGCAAGCACCCCCACACCGTCTCAAGTGCTGTCTCAGTGCGCCCCTGAGGCGGCGCCCGCACGGCAGGCCAAGGGATTGAACCCCGGTCAAGCAGGCGCTTTAGTGTGCTGAGGCATTCGGCAGGCCCTGAACCCAATTCTTTAGCTCATATATTGGCTGAAATAGAAATATAGATGGCACCCTGCAGGCGTCACCTTTGTAATTCCATTGGCTCCTACTTGAAAGCTCTCATTGTCTTCTGCTTACAACTAGAATAAAACCAAAACCTTTTTTCTTTTGCAATGTGTACTGGAGATTTAACCCAGAGGCTTTGTACTGGGCTATATCCCTAGCCCTGTTTATTTATTAATTTTGAGCTGATGTCTCACTGAACTACTAAATTGCCCAAGCTTCACTTTGCAACCCTCCTGCCTCAGCCTCCCAGATGTGCCAGGATGACAGGTGTGCACCACCACGCCAAGTCCATGTCTCCAAGTCTTTGTAGTCCTGGAGAACCCGTGGTCCAGTATTACCCCAGGTTTCTTCACGTAAAAGTTTTCCTTCACACCATGCACTGCATTCAGCTCTAGCTGCCCAGCTTCTTCCTGCCACAGGCTCATTACACAACCTTTCCTTCTGCTTACTCAACTTTCCAGGTCCTTATTCCCATTACTGACTCCCCCTCCTGCTCCAGAGGGGCCTTCCCTTGAGCACTCTGGTTTTTTAAACCATTTCAGTCTATGCTACCCCAGAATTACCATTACAGCCCATTTCCCTTCCAAGTGTTGTTGACTGTCCCTCTTCCCCTACTAGACTGCAACTCCATTTCCGAATCCCTGTGTCCCCTGTGCTAAGTTTCAATGAATGTTTGCTGATTGACCAACTGACAATGGAAGAAGCGGAAACAGCATAAAACTACAAACCTGACGGACCGCTAAGAAGGACAAATGTCTATTCTGCACAAGTTGACTTGAAGCTAGAGGGATTTTCAAGGTCTTATTACTTCCTTCATTTGTCCATGGTATAATATCTAACATTTATTGAGTACTTTAGGCACTATGCTAAGCACTGCATGTGTACTACAGCATTTTACGCTCTGAATAACCCTGTAGGGGTAATCAACCTTTATTATTCTCATTTTTCAGGGGCAACCTGCCAACAGCCATTAACGGTGGAGCCATAGTCGGGCTTAAGTAGGCCATATCCAATTGATCAAAGTAACGGACACCTTTCAGCCAACAATAGGTGTTTTATCAACGTACTTTTTGGAGCACCCCCCCCCCCTGAATTCCCCGTTTTACCTGACGTTCTATTTTGGAACCGAAACCCACGAGGTGGTTGCTAACCCCTCAGAGGGTTGCCTGCAGAACCTGAGTGTCCTTGGGGACCAAAGGCAGCTCAGACACACGCGCCAAGAGCTGGGTAGAAATGAATCCCGGGAGAGCCGGGGAGGAAGGCAGAAACAGGTCAGTAGGCGCTGGCTGGATCCTCGCGCCCCGGGGTGGAGAGAGAGCAAGGCGGCGCGGGCCGCGTGCACGCCCTCCCCGGGCTCGGGATCTCCCGACCTGAGGGGAAACCACGACGCGTTTCCCCAACTACACCGCACGCGTCACTAGCCCGCCGGCCTCAGCCCCGCCCATCTCCCCCGCCCTTTGCAAGCTCCGCGCTAGTACCCCACGACCCTCTGCGCAGCCCTCGGCAGCCCCTCCAGCCAGGTGCGGCCTGTGATTGGTGCTCGCGGGCGAGATCCCCGCCCCCACCCTTGCGTCACTACCAAGATGGCGCCGGTGGTGGCGCCTACCGCGGCTGGAGCCGGGGAAGGAGGCGGAGGCAGCAGCGACCGCGAGGGGTGGGGGAGTCCCGTCTGACTGAGACGGCGGGCCTGGGCGGGCGGGGGTGCCGCGCAGGGCGGAGCGCCGGACTGGGGATGAGCTCAGCGGGCTCTGAGCGCCGCGGCATTCAGCCCCTCGTGTCCCGCTGCCGAGCGTGAGAGGGGTCTGGCGCCGCTCCTCGAGCCCGACCCGCTGTTCGGGCTGGGGCCGGGGTGGAGGTGAGTGCGGGGGCGGCGACGTGGGCGGCCGCGGCGTGGGAGGCTGTCACGGCTCCGAGGAGTGACAGCCGGGGGCGCGGACGGTCGCGACCTCCGCCCGGGGCTCCTCAAAGCCGGACCGCCGTCCGCGGGCTGTCGCCGCCCGGGGTGGCACGGCGTGGCTAAGCGGCGTCCGCGCCCCTGCGCCGGCGCCTGGGGGGCTCCGGGGTTCTCGGTCCGGGTTTCCCATTCCGCGCTGGCCTGGGGCTGTTGTTGTTTGGGTAGTGGGGGCGGGGAGGGGGGAGGTCCTGGCGCTGGGTTTGACAAGCTGGTTACGTAAGTCGGCGGTGGCTTCCCGGAATCCCACCTGCTCCGCGTCTCCGCGAGGCGCGGGGAGCCCGGGCCGCCTCTCCTCCCTGCTGTCCTCCCCGCCCTCTTGGCCCGGGAGGGCGCGGGTTCCGCGTGAGCCTGGCCGGCGTCCAAGTTGGCCAGTTTTTTGTTTTGTTTTGCTTTACATGGGGAGGGGGAAGAGGCTTCCACGTTACCACCGTTCCTTTTGAAGTTTATAGCCATCGGGGTGGGGGGACCAAAGCACTAGAAAGAAAAGGATGTGACCTAAAATCGGGTCGCAGCGACAGCTTTTCGTGATCGTGCTTTTCAATGACAGGCGTGCTGGAAGATATTTTGTTGTTGTTCCAGTGTGCTTTTTAATTCAAACGTTTAGTAATGCCTTGGAGCCCGAGAGAGAGATTTTTGTTTTACAGGACAGTTACGTCTTATTTGCTACTGCAGGACAAGCATCAGTCAACAGGCGTGTTATTTATTTGGAGAGAAAACGCGTGTCAGCCGGTCAGAGAGTCGTGAGGGCAGAAATTGTATTAATGTGAATGTTATTCTTTAAAATGTATTATACATTAATGAAAAGAGCCCGAGTATAAAAAGTCTTTAAAGATGACAAGTTTTTATTTAGCAGTCTGGACATAATCTTATTCTGTTTTCTGCTTGCTTCCACCCTCTCTTGCCTTGCAGGAGGAGGTGCAGACAGACACCTGTAAACAGCGTAGCCCAGGTTACACTAATCTATTGTAGGACGTTTGAGATTATTGTAAGAAGTAGTCTGTGGGGGAACCTAAGATTGGGTAATAAGTAAAGACTTTGGGGAAAGTTATTTAGCGTATGTTTATAATAGTTCAGGATTGCGCAGAACTATTGTGCAGAACTGTGAGCTATTAAACCCTGTTTGAAATTGTAATAAAATATATTGTATTTGGTTTCTTTTATGGGAACTTTGTTTTGTTTGGGGGGGAAGTAAATATCTTAGACAAGTTTCAATTCATCTTTACAATTTTTTCTTGAGCTGGAGTTCTCAGTAGGAGTTCAGAATAGTACATATTATCATCATCAACGTGTATGTTACGTAATTTTCTTTTTCTGAATGTTTTCTGAATGTTTAATTTTCTTTTTCTGAATGTTTAAACTTCCCTGTGGAATTTTATCAGAATACTAGTGAAGTCAACTTGATCTTGACACCAAGCCAAAACTAGGAATAGATGAGTAAATTTTGTTTTGAGTTTTAAACTTGATTACACAAATTTACAGTTTTGAAAATTGGTGAAGCAGTATGGTTTGTTTGTGCAGGAAAGCCGGGAAGCTGCAGCCAATTATTTTGAAATTTTCCACCTGATTTGCCTCTAGTTTAGTTATTGATTCTTAAGTTCCTGGAACTGTTATTCTGCTTCTGGTAGCTTGAATAATATTTAGTATAATTGGAAGGCCATAAGAAGAAGGGAACAGAATATATTTATTAATTCATTCAAAAGTTATGGCAGGAATAATAGAAAACCTATTTTCCTATCATGTGATAGTTACATATTCTTTTGTTAGCACCATTTTTCTAGATATTCTGCATGACAGAAACCTTGGTTTTCATATCGTATTGACAGTAATGTTTGTTTTACATCTGCTGTTCTTATTTAAAGTAAGGGCTCATTATACTAAGTAGAAAGCATAAGTGACTAGCAGGGACACTGACTTGCTATTTTTGCCTTCTCTGATGTCAGAGACTTATGTTTGTGGAACTTTTTTCTACTAGAGATAAAAGAGAGTTACTAAAGAAAATATGACTAAATTATCTTCCTTTTGTGTCTTGTAATAATAATCTTCCTGTTCTTATAATGCCTTACATTGATTTCTTTTGTTCAGTAGAATTTATTGAACAGGGAGGAGAAGTCAAACCATACTTTATTACTGTATATCATAATTATTTATTTGAATTCTAAAAGAGCAGTGTAGAGCTTTACATTTAAGGGGCCATTAATTTACATAGATGTTATAATTTAACCATCAAAATACCCTGTGAAAGGCCTGCGAGGTAGCTCAGTGGACTAAGTACCTCCTTAGGCAAGCACAGGGGCCAGGGTTTGATCCCTCACACCACAGGCCCCGCCGGCCCTGCCCCTGAGTGCGCTGAGCTGACCAGTGAGACCAGGTGTGGTGGCGTGGGCCTGTAATCCCATCGCTGGAGAGGCCTGAAGACAGGAGGATCTCTATGAGTCGGATATGCATATGAGATCCTGTACCAAATATATTTTTTAAAAAGTACCCTATGATATAGAAGGGTGAAATTAATGATTACATGGTGGAACTAGTTACTAAAAATATTTTCAACAAATATTAACATGAAAATAGGTAAGTAATGTTGTGAGGAAAATCATAAAGAGATAGAGTCTTCAAAAAAAATGTATATGCACTGCAGCATCTTGCCATAGTAATAAATGTCTGGAAGATAATGGTCATCACTTTGAGCACCTTCTGTAGTTGTAAAGGCCAAAGATAACTTGTATTCATTTCATGATACTAAATTTAGTGTTAAAACATTTTACTTTTACTGATGTGTACTTTTTTGGCAAACTACATAAGGTATTACAACATTGCATATAAGTGATATGAAGGATTGACAGGAAATATTAACAGGTGAACTTCATTAAAATATTTTCAGGGACTATAGTAGAAAATACTGAAAATTATTACTCCAACAGGGAGGCTATCTTATGATTCATTGTTAGTAAAACAAACCCAAAATGTGGTGTATGTTTGCTGTACACAAAATAGAAACTTTTAGGTGAAGACGTTCTTCTAATTCCAACCTTAGGATAGTTTTACATATGGAGATTTTTTTTTTTATTTTTTTTTTTATTTTTTTTATTTTAGGGAAGGGTCTCCAGGGTGTTCAGGGTCTCACTACTAGATTGGACTCGTAGTGATCTGCCTGTCTACAGCCTCCCGAGAGCTGGGATTACAGGTGCGTGCCACCACGCCCAGTCTCAGTTGCCAGACTCAGGGTGCCCTAGGGCCGGGGCTGGCACAGCAGGCCTGGGTACCAGTCCCTGGCCACCGCGCCTGCTTGCAGGTGCTTTAATGCACTGGGCTATTTGGCTGGCCCATGAGCTGTAATTGGCCAATATGATGAGTGTTAAAAATTCTGCAGTAAAAATTTTACAATTAATATTCTCAGGATACTCCCTCTTTTCAAACACACTCCCTTCGTTCTTGCCTCTTTCTGCAGTAGTTCTGGAAGTCCTCTTTATGAGTGTCTTTACATGTTGTGATAAAAAGTATTGTGAGTGCTGTTACCCAGAGGCATCCAGTGGAAAGGCAGTACAGTCTGGCACTGTGGACTTCTGCTTCTTTCTGGAAGCCAAAGTGACCATAAAGTAAATGTTTTGAATTGACTGAACACATCGGAACGGCACAACTAAAGATACATACAAAAGAAAACCTCCAGTACTGCTTGGGAATTGACAACGACTGGATAAGTGTGTTCAAAGTAAGGGGAAGATTTTGAGGGAGATTAATGGCAGTGTGTCTTCTACTGTAATACATTTTTAAAAACTTAATAATTCACCATAATGCTTGATTATATCTTGTTTATAGACCTTTTCCATCAATGCACGTTACTTGTCTCAACTCTTCTTTTCTGCTTGCTTCTTGTGCCAAATTGTTCTGCATTGACAGTGCCACCTATTGATGTACTCCTCTCCCCATCTTTCCTCATTACTTCATCATTCTGTAGGCAACAGTCTGGGAATGTTTATGTTTTTTGTTTATGCCAGTATTTTCCTAGTTACTGAGGACACAAAGTTAAATAAAATGTGGTTTCTGCCCTCAAAACTGCTGAAGAATGCTTTTTATTAGGGGGTGAGACATATTGGGTTATTATGTACACTCTTTTTTTTTTTTTTTTTTTTCTGTTTCACTGCTAATGCTTGGGTAGTATCTTTTTCCCAGTGCTCATATCCCCTTGTAAATTTCTTAGTGCAGTAGTGTTTTTGAGTTCCAGACAACCAACTTATACATAACTTTTTGGAACATTTGTTGATTGTATGTTTATTCAGTAAGGTTATATATATGTTCATCTGTGGTTGTTATTATTTTTAGAAAGTGTGACCCTTGGTTCCATCTTTCTTCCTTCTGTTAAAAATCAGAAACAAGTAGACAACGAGAAAAGAGATACAAACTATCAAGGAAAAGAGATGTCACTGTAGTTTTTCTGCTGGTGTCATACTTTATTTTAACTAAAAACAATGAGTCATCAAGATGAGAAAGTATAGTAAGCAAGAGATACCCTTTCTTCATGTAACAATTCATTTTTCATAT